TTCAGACATTTTTACACAAAGCACTGAGATAACCAGACACTGCAATCTAAGGATGCAGCTTAATGATGAATGATTTGAGCTCCGAAATGTTACGAATTCTAGTATACCTGACATCAGCATCTGAATCGTTTTTTCTACCTGGTCGTTTGCCAAGCTCCTACTGTGTAGTTAGGGTGCTTCGTTTTCGATTTTTATATTATTCAGATATCAAGCAGTAAAAATCGGGTGCTTTCTTCCAGTAGAGTAGATTGTCGAGCTAGTTGGTTTTGGAACTTGGAATAGCGCACTGTGCTGTCTGTTCCTCGTCTCTTTGTCCTTGTTTTTTGAGCGCTAAAATGTATTCCAAGATTTCTTCCAAGCTGGTAATCAGGACAAATCCAGGTTTTCAATCCATTATTCTGCAATTCGGCGTTTTCAAGTTGTGTTTATAGAAATATAATCATAATTAACAATAACGAGCAATAACTGGTTTCAATAAAGGATTTCTGTTTTACAATCAAGTATTTAAAGTCCACAACATTGCACTGGGAATAGTGGTATATTTTGATAATTCTATAGATATGTTGAAATACTTTTTTTTTAAATTTTAACCCGCATTTTTGTGCACCCGCTTTTATTAAAAATCTTGTATACCTTGTATCTCGTTTATATTTTAATTTTGTTGCGTGGACAATGCCAGATTGCTATTTTTATATGTGCCGGGAATTTAGGAAAGTATTCTAGCTTCTTCACTTTTATGGGTTTATACCGAAAGTGCTTTTCTTACTTTTATTTATTTATTTTTTGCTTGATGTCTTATATTACTTTTTAATCTTTGTTTTAATGACAATGTTAAACAACATTAATGTGTGCTAGTATTCATTCTTTACAATTTTATCTGTGCATCCATTTTCTCTTGGGTGTATGTATGTGTTGTGGGAACCGGGGGTGAAAGACGAGGCAGAGGGCACGTGACAGGCGATCGGCGGGGAAGACACGAGCTGGCGCGAGACATAGCGAGCGGAGCGAGGCTGGTAGCTGGACAAGGAACGTCGAAGCCAGGCTGCCTAGCCTGGGGTGCTATGTTGCGCCTTTTGCACTTCCAGGAGACTTGGAAGAGGGAAGTGACGTCAACGACACAGCAAATGCAGATTGGATGTTGACAGAAGAAAACGAAATCAACACCCAATCTGCGTTTGCTGTGTCGTTGACGTCACTTCCCTCTCCCTAGTCTCCTGGGAGTGCGAAAAGCGCAACATAGCCCCCCTGGCCCATAACGAACCCCGGAGCGGTCCACCAGCGAGGTCTGGAGCAAGACCGGTGGAAACGGCGAGCCCGGGCCATATGACCTGGGCTATGACGATCCCGGGGTGGTTCCGCAGCGAGACTCGGGCATTGATAGCCCGGGACAGCCAGCCTACGCAGCGCTGGCGTGGGAAAGGCGATCCGCAGGCCTGGGCATGGACCCCGACTGTGAGCTCTGATCGACGGGCGACAACAATGGTCGACGGGCCCGGACAACCGGCTCTCGACGACCGGCAACCGGGAGGTACAGTAAACCCATTCGCTGTCTTCTCGTTGCTGTATGTCACTCCCTGGGTGACGGGCGGAAGGTATACCGATCGGGCGGCGATTATTAGTATGGAGGGACCTCCCCCGTTAAGAAACCCACATTAAAATGGCGCATCCAACGTGGGGCCCGTTCGGTATGCCTCTGCTTCTAGTCGTCCCCAGAGAGTCCCATGGATTCGTTGAGCGGGTTGTTCACTAACGCTAACGATGCCCGTTGAGACAAAGTATTTCGGAATTTTGGTGACTTGTCTCACAGCAGAGCTCAGCAGGTGTCTCCTCGAATCGAGTACTTAAAGGTCTCGAAGGACGAGGTTGCGGACGTGCTTTCTCCGGTACCCCAGAACAGTGGTTGGCAGAAGGTGACCCAACCGGGGGGAACACGAGGAGCGCGGTTAAGATGTAAGAAAGTCGTCTTCGGAGGCAGAGGAGAGCCACGGCATGTTCGCTGGAAGGCAGGATAGCGACTGGCAGGAGGGAACACAGCCAGGACTTATTCCATATTTAGGATTTAGGCTTGGAGTGATGCGGTAGGCAAGCAAGCGCTTGTCGTGGCCCGGGGTGCAGATGGGTTTTTGTCAGTGGGTGTCGGAAAGATTGCGGGAATTGCAGTCGGCACCGGGAACACTGGCGGACGAGATTGTCAGCGGGTGCTGGATAAACTGGCGTCAATTCCAGTTGACACCGGGAACGCTGGCAGGCGAGTTAAGGAGCAGTATGATTTGTAACCGCTGGGCCAAGACGGCTAGTTGCTTCGCGTCACTCCAACAACCGACGGAAAGCAGAGGGACGACTCTCCCTTGAGGGGGTCGTTCCGAGAGAGCTACGAAATGTTTTATAAGATACTTTTTCGGCTTCACTCTGGCCGGTCGTGGCAGTGACAGCAAGACTTTTAATAAGTTATGTCTCGTCACGACCTGGCCGGGGATGAGGCGGTAGTCATTTTAGGTGGCTTGTAGTTGTCCAGCTTGCCTTGAGGCGTGAACGGTTTAAGCGGGCTTGCTCGCTGAGCTACCGCCCCCTCCGAGGACCGAGCAGTCCCTAGAGCTCGTATGCACGTGGACGGAATGGGACGCTGACGCTTACATCGAGTAGCACATGGTATATGTAGCCGTTGCGGAATTGCGGGTATGGTATTTGGTCATCCCGTTACAGGCTTTGGATCCCTTCGCTTGCGCAAAAGATGGACTAGGTTTACGCCATCGTTACCTGTTCTGAGGGAAACTCACGCTTTGAGCAACGCAGCTAGTGGTTTTGCCGTATAGCTTGCTCCGAGGTGAGAAGGGCACCCGAGGTAAAAAGACGCGAGCGTCGTGTCTTACGTCTAGGCTTACTCGGCGAGATACAAACGAGGAGGCTTGCCCGGTTCACATCGCTGACTTGAAAGGATACTACCGTTGTCGCGATGGGGAACACGTATAACATGAGGTTGCGATAGGACACAAGAAATCCCGTGTTCTTGGCGACCCAGGAGCGAGATCTGGGATGCAGACTTGCTGAGTTAGCCGCATGGTACACGAACCCGTCGGCAAGCTATGTGGCGGTAGAGGCTATGGCCACTGCCACAATCTGCGGCAGAGTACTTGTTCGCTGTGTGTTGTTTTTACAGTTTGTTCTGCGCAGAATAGCTTCTTGGAAAGACGGCCGTATACAGACGGCGTAACCCAGGAAGCCCACCGGGAGGCAAGACGGGACCATTCGTTTTCCCAAGTGCTCAGGGTGGCTGACAGTTGTTCGGCCTGGCGAACGGTTCAGGCGGGCGGTTCTAAGCCCGCTGTGACCTCTAAGCGGAACGGGGCAAGTCCGTCTGCGTCGGCCGGACCAGCTTAGAGCAAGCCCCCTGCTGCATCGCGGTGAGTGGGACAGCGAGCGACAGACAGGTCGGCATTGTCTGCCGGCTTCGCTAGCCACCACCACCTACGCCGCTTTCGGACGCTGCAACGTGGCCACTCCGGCAACAGCAACAGCGGCCGCCCATGAAGACCAGCGGCTCCCTGAAACCCATGAAGTCCCCCGAAGTCCGGGCCTTGAGGGGGGGAGAGTGTGGGAGCCGGGGGTGAAAGACGAGGCAGAGGGCACGTGACAGGCGGTCGGCGGGGAAGACACGAGCTGGCGCGAGACATTGCGAGCGGAGCGAGGCTGGTAGCTGGACAAGGAACGTCGAAGCCAGGCTGCCTAGCCTGGCCCATAACGAACCCCGGAGCGGTCCACCAGCGAGGTCTGGAGCAAGACCGGTGGAAACGGCGAGCCCGGGCCATATGACCTGGGCTATGACGATCCCGGGGTGGTTCCGCAGCGAGACTCGGGCATTGATAGCCCGGGACAGCCAGCCTACGCAGCGCTGGCGTGGGAAAGGCGATCCGCAGGCCTGGGCATGGACCCCGACTGTGAGCTCTGATCGACGGGCGACAACAATGGTCGACGGGCCCGGACTACCGGCTCTCGACGACCGGCAACCGGGAGGTACAGTAAACCCATTCGCTGTCTTCTCGTTGCTGTATGTCACTCCCTGGGTGACGGGCGGAAGGTATACCGATCGGGCGGCGATTATTAGTATAGAGGGACCTCCCCCGTTAAGAAACCCACAGTGTGTATCCGTTATATCTTGTATAAGTATTTTTCTCTTGTCGAAGTTAAACCTTTAATGCTGTTGCTGCTGGATTTTGCCCCCCCCCCCCTCCCCCATTGGACCTTGGTGCCCAGTCAGGCGACACGATCACCTTTTGCACCAAGGTACCATTTCGAGGTGTGTGTACCTCTTGAAAGAAAAAATAAACTGACTGATTGAATATAGTACGGAAACCAACAATCTAGTTTTCCTTCCAAAATAAAGTTGTGAGAATAATTTATCATCCTTCGCTCTTTGTTTTCTTTTTATTTGCGCTGGTTAAAACGGCAATTAAAGAAGTTCGAATAGATCTAAAAGCGACATTTATGGTACTCGATCTATGTCATTGCGGTTGACTGAAGTTAACAAAATCTAGATTTGTTTCCGAGATGTGGAGCTAGCACACGTGTTCAACACCTGCATTGCTAGAAAATAATTTCGAAGCTGAGTAATATAGAAAATTATTCAATTCAACCTCCGAATTCATGGAGAAACCGGACTTAACCCGGTTTCCAAGAAACGCGATCGGTGTGTAAATATCGGAAAATGTCTGTTTTTATCCGAAAACGAAGGACCCTACGTTTATCGCAGCCACAGGCTCTCCGAGTACATTGTGGCAATGCGAACGCAGGGGCACATCTCACATTGTAGAGACAACTGGACAACTGTGTAGAGAAGAGATCGAGCAGTTCTGCATGACGCCTGCACGCACGGTGGTCGCACATTACGGCCATTGGAATTTATGGAATTTTTGACTTGCACCAATTTCAGCTAAGTTTGTGTTCAGTGATATTAAAGTAAGCGGATCGAGAAAAAAAATACAGAAAAAAAAACATTACGACACCTTCTCCTGGGGGTGGTTTTCGATGACCTTGGTAGCCTCTTCTGCCATGAACTCGGTGTAATACTTGCCATCGAATTCCCGGCCCTCTGATAAACCCTGTCGGAAATCGAGTCCTGAGGCGATCCACTGTAAGAATAAGAATATTCTAATGAGAAAAAGGATCATGCGTTATTCATTGTTTGTTGCTAATTTTAGTTCACTCCTCTTTCCGTAATAATTCTTATTATGCCTATTGACTGAAAGGTAGCCTTATGAAGTGTTTACAGTAGATATAAAATACTTAACCTAGCACTGCAGTAAAATAAAAAGTACGAACACAAACACAATGCCTCGTCAAGTTGTGTGTGTGTTTGTGTTCCTTTGTAGTTTACAAATCTTGATCTAACATACTGAGCTATGAAACCAAAGTGATAGGTCTACCTCACCTACGTTCTTGGAATCTGTTCAGCATTCCAGAAATAATATTTATCTCCAACCGTCCACTTTTAATATTTTGCATGCGATTCTCAGGGCAACCATGAGCATTATGTTTCATATCGTAAATATGGGTTGCATAGTTGCATAAAGCATGATTGGTATCAAGTCTGTTGCATTATGCTAATTAAGAACACATTGGTATAAAAAAGGTTTCCAACTCGTTCTATGCAATCAAATGATGGGTTTTAAGACGAGAGTCTTACTTGTGTCATTTTGTGAAAGGGAGGCGGCGTTGTCCCCGAAAGATGGCCATAAAAATACGCCATCAAGCACTTCCCGCTCAAGGTCAAAGCGGACGCGCCTGAGCATAGCCTCCCTGACCGAGTCTGGCAGATAGCCACGAGAAGCGGCCGCCGAAATTGAAAAGGCAGAGCGGCAGACAACGCATGAGAGGAGAGCCACGTGACGGACGCCCCACCGTGGCGAGACGCCGAAACACACTGCTCCCGAGCGATGGAATATCCGCTCGTGCTCCACGCGTTCCTCGCGCTACCGCTTCCTTTCTCGTCGGATTTGAAAAACATGTTTCGGGTTCTCGCCTCTGCAAAAGCTGTGCGCTAAAAACCAAGTTCCCCGACAAATTTTGGGTGCAACCAGATTCTCGCGCTCCAAATCTGCGACAAGGCACTCTATAGCTCCGTCGTCGAACTGCCATGCGTTGTGAGTGTAGAGGACGCTATGCCCTGAGAAATAAAGCAAAAAGAAAAGTACACCAACGCAGATGTTTCGACACGAAAGCGGGCGAGGCCTCTCTATGTCAAAGCGAACGCGACTCAGAAATAAAATGCCAAGAAAAGCGCAACAACGCAGATGCGTCGTCGCGGACGCCGTGGAGCCGGCGGCGCCGCCGCTACAGCGCAGTTGGGGAGGGTGATGTCACTGCCGGAGCACCGTGTGAAAAACTACGACGTGGCGCGCAGCTCGTAGAAATGCTCTGAGTGTAGGAGTGCTTTCGCATTCCTACACATCAGCAGTCTTAAGTGTCTTCCTTGTAATTATTGTTTTATTGGCCGCAATATTTCTCAGAGTGGCCAACCCTGGAGGTCACACAAATTTGTCATCGTTGGAGCGCCTTCAGAACGCCCACCTTCAGGCCCTTCAGGACAATCCTCCATACCTCTTAACCTCCTCGACTGCCCCGCACCTGCACCCCTTGAGGTTCATCTTCATTTCAGGGAATGTTAAAAATTTACTGATGGTGAAATTAAGAGTAAATGGAGGGTGATAGCGGCAAGGAATGTTTCTCCGGACCAGAAACTGCTGCACTCTCATCGGCAAGTAGACTGAAGTATCGTCATAGATGACGATCTGGTTGCCACCAGCCACTAGATCTGGTAATTTGAGTCTCACTCTTTCCCACAGAAGTTTCAGCACGCCATTGTAGTAATCTGCACTGACAATTTTCTTTTTTTTTTTTTTTTGCTGTTGTTACAAAGAACAAGTTTTTGTCGTCGCAGTGCGTTAGCGCGTTTTATTAATATAATCAGAGTCGCCAGTTCGGGAACCTTTTGCTGCCACCTCGAAGGTAGCTAGCCGGCAGCAATCATATGTAGATACGCCACCCTATATTATTAAATCTTACGTGAGAGTAGTAGTCTACAAAGGTACCCCAGGAGCCAATATGCTTCTGGAAGCCTCTCATTGTCGGGGTGTATTCCTTCTTGTAGAATCCCAGATGCCACTGCAAATATTCGATCATTGTAGCTAATGTGCACAGTACTTCAGACATCATCGATGAAAATCGCCTACCTTTCCTAGCATCTGAGAGACGTATCCCAGATCGCCAAGCCATTGAGGAAGAAGCTTAAACTTCAAGGGCAGCCCACGGGGTTCCATCTGGAGGATGACGAAGTGCTGCATACCTGAATTCCATTCGGCAAAACAAATATTAGTCAGTTTTATCAGAGAAAATAAAATAACTAATAAAAACAAATTTGTATTATTGCTTCATTAATTCTTTTCACATATCTTTGCAGCAAAAATGTACATTGCTAGAAGTAAAAAATAATTCCTTGTTTTGAAAGTGTTACGCTTATTCATCAAATATATAAAATTTCATATAAGCTCGCAATAACCAAGTTCAAGATGCTAAGCAACGGCTCTCAAATTATTTAAAAGTATTTTCCTCTCTCAAAATTAAAGCGCAATGATATAGCCGGGTACTCATGTTAACGGGGTTTTCATGAATAATCCTTTACCAGGATTTAAAGGTCCTGCTGTAGATACTAAAATAATTTTAGAGTTTAGGTCAGTGGGAACACCAACAAAACAATGTTCGAGCAGCCACAGAATTGTGAAGTTTATTGACTTCCAGTGTCGTGAATTTTTGTTAGCTGGAATGCTGGAACGCAAACGCAACCCTGTTGACTACCTTCATCGTCTTATGTACTCGACAATTCAAAGACGCTCATTTGCAGATGACTTCTTTCACAGTTACGAAAGTTACAAGTATGTTGCTTTGTTTTCGTCAATATATTTCATAAACTGTAATATGTCTAAGTTCAAGGAATGTATATCCAAGTCAAGAGCATTGGTATAGGTAATAAATATTCGACATTGTCGCCAAGACAACGTTTCCTAAACCTGTTTGAAATGGGTCTAAGGTGGCTTACGGAATTTGCCGCCGCAGCATCCTTTTTCACACACGTGTTATTACACCAAACAAAAATGAAGGATGTTAATAGAAGAAGCATCCCATTTTCAAGTTAAAGGGGTGTATTACTGAACATCAGAGTGCCTAAAGGGTGTAGCCATGGGTGTGCACTCTGTGGGATTCGCCCTTTTGGGGGGTCCCACTTAGAAACACAAAGAAGGTTCCTCGGGTTCGGATAAAGACGTGTTTATTGACTGCAATGTCAGCACGCTTCGCTCTTAGACAATGAAAAGTCTGGGCGCTGGCTCAATTGCCAGTATCACCCGGTCGGTTTCCCGCGCTGCCGCATTAGACAGATTCACGGGAAGTCGGAGGCCCACAAAGAAAAACCGAGCTCCGTAGAGCCAGGGCCTCCGCCGACGAGAGCCCTGGCCCACCTTCGGGGCCAGCTTATGTAGCCTCGGAGAATGGACGCGCCCGGGGAGGCCACTAGCAGTCGCGTCCATCATAGCTCTCAAGGGTGTGCCGAAGGCGCGTTCACCCAAATGGGCAAGGGAGAACCGGCCCCTTCGGGGAATTCGGCCTCGTGGTTCCTTGTATCCGGGAGGCCGACGCCATTGGTGACGATGACTCCCACGGCCTGCTTGAAGCTAGGCCTGGATAGGGATAGAGGGAACCCAATGGTTCCCACACTCCCCCCTTCTCAAGGCTAAGGTAGGCCTAAAAATAAAATGGCCTACCGGCTCTCAAAAACAAAATAAAAAAAAACGAAACGCTAGAGCGAAAGAGCATGCCGCGAAGAAAAGCAAAGAAATAAAAAAAAACTATCAGCGCGGTACATGCTGAAAACTCTAGCTCGCTGCTTGACAGTGGACCTCGGGTGCAGCCGAACTCTGCAGCCCACGCTTCTTGGCAGGCTTACCGGGAGTATCGTTGCAAATGTCCGTGCAGTGGCATGGCTTGGGCAGGAAGGACGACCCGGACACTCCACGGCGAAATGTTCGGAGGATCACGGAAAGTACGGTGGCTGGTCGTCTCTCCCTGGGGACACACCATGTGGCACGGGCACTGTCACCGGGTCCGTGACGCGGATGCGAGCTGCTTGTCGGCACGGCCACAGCCTGGGTCCGCGACTGGATGCCACGTGTTGCTGGGCTGAGGACGAGTCCAGGCAGCGGGAGGATGGCTGCCGCCATCTTGGCCAGCAGCCGAGGAGCCGGATCTGGACACGCAGGCCGGCGACGCTGCGGCGACGATGACGCTCGCTGGCGTCGATGCTACCTCGATGTGGCCCCATGAGTCAGGAAACGCCGGCCACTGGAATGCGGCCTGCCTTCTGCCGCCCTCTCCCGTTTCTTTCCCCAAGAAGGAAGCTTCGGAAATTCCGAGCAAGGTGGAGCCGTCCAACTGAGGACACTCGACCAATCTCTGGGTGCACAAGGCCCCAGAGATAAAAACGAGGCAGAGACAAAGGTGTCTTTTTTGCCGTGAGTCACGTGCATCGCACTGGCTCGGCTCGCGAAGTTATTGTGAAAATAGTTCCACAACTCCGCTTAATGTGGACACGGATGCTCACATACCAAGCTGACTCGCGTCACCCCGGACAATAGATTTGTTGGTGACTGATCGACTAGGCAAAGTTCTTTGTAGCTGCTTTTGCTAACGATGCCTAATCGCTTCGATTTGCGGGTGCAATGAAATGTCAAATGCACCACCCTGTCCTTTCTTGTGATATTGAAACGATGCAGGGCTGCAATCGGGCAGGCTCGCCAACATTGTTATTTTTCAAACATGTTAGCTTTTTACCTTAGGCTAAAACACAAATGCCCGTGGCCAGGTATAGCACAGCGACCTAACTTCGAAAAGTCTTGGAGCCGCGTGCTGCCCTGGCCAACGCGAACAAAGGAGAGCACCGAATTCCCAGCCGCGCGGGACAGCCCCCTTGAACTGCAATGTTCGTAGAGGCCAAGCGTCGTAGCACGAGTTTATCCGCATCAGCAAGAACAGAAACCGATCCCAAATAAAAAAGAAACCCCGTGCCAATAGCAATACCAGACTATTTACGGCACCGATCGGCAACAACACGAGTTGCTCGACCCGGCGAGTACGCTGCCCGGCTGCCAAAGCCCGTCTGCAACAATACGAGTTGCTTAGCGACGTTAGTGGCGAGCGTACCGCCCGGCGGACGCACCGCCCGACTCCGCAGAGTCCGCGAAAGTATTTACAACTATTCACATATTTACACCCCGGATCGTTCTGCTGAGCGTCAAAAACTCATCGGTGCTACGGTCGATTCCCAACGAACACCCCGAGTGCCGTGGTTCACGATATCATTCAGTGACCACATGGCGGTCACCTCATGACCCGCAATTACGACGCGGTTTCTACCGCGTTCCCGGGATGCTATTCAACCTCTCGCGCTTGTCCGGTAGCGCTGGTTAAACGTCTCCCAAACTCCGCAACGTTTTCGACGTCGCTTTTTTTTTTTTTTTTTTTTTTCGTAGTCACAGGTTTTTAACGATGTCGGTACGTGCGACGCTCATTGACTCTTGCCGGAATCAATCGCGGGTGATCGGGAAATCTTTAAAGTTAGTTTACCGAAAACCGTTCTGACGCCAGTCCTGTTCCCTCGATGGGGACGGAAAGGCTTGGGAGAAAAATGAAAGGACTCACTCAGTAATTCTCCGTGAATGGTCGACCTCGCTTCTGGATCCGGGAAGGTCCCGCCGTCGACGTGTCGACTGCTGGTCCGTTGTCGCAGCGTAGAGGGGCACCACCGGCCGTCTACGCACCCGCGCTAGGCAGGGACCGGTGTTGTTCGAGAACGGGGTTGACCCTGAAAAGCGCATGGTGCGCTCTGCCCAGCGAAGTAGGCTGGCGTCGTCCCGAAGGGGAATGCCTCGGTCGCATTCCGGGCGTTGAGTCACCTCCGTCTGGGAGGGCGTTCGGCCGAGACACTTATCCAATGTGTCTTTGCGTGGCTGACGTGCCACTAAGCCGTTCAGTGGCATCGGGTGTCGGGCGTTCGCCTCTCCCTTTGTCCACCTGTTTGATCCTTGACCGGAAATCGGCGTGGTTCGCTGTCATTGCGAAAGTGCTGCTTTGTTTGCAGTCGCCGGACAGGCCCCACGTTGGGCGCCAAATGTGGGATTCGCCCTTTTGGGGGGTCCCACTTAGAAACACAAAGAAGGTTCCTCGGGTTCGGATAAAGACGTGTTTATTGACTGCAATGTCAGCACGCTTCGCTCTTAGACAATGAAAAGTCTGGGCGCTGGCTCAATTGCCAGTATCACCCGGTCGGTTTCCCGCGCTGCCGCATTAGACAGATTCACGGGAAGTCGGAGGCCCACAAAGAAAAACCGAGCTCCGTAGAGCCAGGGCCTCCGCCGACGAGAGCCCTGGCCCACCTTCGGGGCCAGCTTATGTAGCCTCGGAGAATGGACGCGCCCGGGGAGGCCACTAGCAGTCGCGTCCATCATAGCTCTCAAGGGTGTGCCGAAGGCGCGTTCACCCAAATGGGCAAGGGAGAACCGGCCCCTTCGGGGAATTCGGCCTCGTGGTTCCTTGTATCCGGGAGGCCGACGCCATTGGTGACGATGACTCCCACGGCCTGCTTGAAGCTAGGCCTGGATAGGGATAGAGGGAACCCAATGGTTCCCACAACTCTAACAAGTCTGGAGCGCCTTCTTTCCCACAGAGCACGTGGGTAAGTCAATCACTGCAACCTACGAGGAGAGTTCGGCGAATGGCGAGACTAGAGATATGTTTAGACCTAAAACAAATACTCTGAGCTATGAAACTGAGCAAGGTGAAACGTTATGCTCAATGCCGCAGAACGGACTGTTTGTTTTTTAAGGTCTAGACTTTGGGTACTTAAAATTGTAAGTTTTTTTTCTTTCTTTTTTTTACGGACAAGATTTAATAATACGGTTTGTATAGGTGAGCTATGAACTTTCAGAAAAAAAGGGTTATACTCTTACACCTTTTGTCCCATATAATGCACCCCAAAACTTCAGTTCGGCGTACAGCGCACTGACGTGTAACTGACGGTACCAACTTTCACGAACGGCTTGATATCTGAGTGGTCCAACTTATTAAAACTACTAATGTAATTTCTAATGAATACGAAAAACAAATCGTGGATACCTTGACCCAACTTTAAATCGTCGGCGGTTTGCCTCTTCTGTGGTCTTTGATACGAGCTTTAGCAGTTTAATATAAGTTATATCGCACAGTCATCAAGCCCCTCGTAATAGTTGGGGCCGTTAGTTCGACGTCAGCGTCAGATCGAAGTATTGGGGTGCATTATACGGGAGATAAGAGTATAAGACTGCACCCTTTTTTTTTAAGAGTGTTATACGGCCAGGGGGACATTATATTGGCTGTTCACTTTCGAAATCATTCAAAGAATTCACGAAACAAATTAGTTCAATCTTTAACTAGGAAAAATAAACGTACGCTCTCAATCAGAAACTTGCATAGCATAATTGAAAACCACTACATCAGTCAATTTTTGGAACGACTTGAAGCGTTTGGGAAACTAAGGAATACAGCGATGTTATTGGTGATGCGGCAGGCGCCAAGCTATCGCATGTGGTTTCAATTTTCTAATTGAAACCACATGTTTATTTTCAATATTTAAAAAGTTATTAAAAGAATTTCGGCAATTACTTAACACAATGTCGCGGTTATCCGCTCATATAATGTCCACCGAACTCGAGAAAGAAACACATGCGAAGACGGTATCTAGCTTGCAGTTTGCAGAGTTCTTTTTTTTTTTTTTTTAACTTTGCTTTCATTAAAAAAAATCACGCTTTGTTTACGCGGGCCATTTGCCGAGGTTCTTCCGTTGATAGCAGACATTGGCTCCTCAAGTGCTTTTTCGGGAAAGTAGACGCTCGAGGTTTTCCATAGAGTGTGCCTTTCGAAGACTCGTTTACGCCGTTAACGGTGGAAATTAATGTTTTATATGTGTTAGCGTATCGAGCGACACGTATGTTGTCAAACTATCTTCCTTAAACCTCCGCACCGACCTGTGTGAATCGGATATCGTCCGGTCATGAGTGCCGCCCGGGAAGGCGTGCACATGTGCTGTGTGTAGTAGCGCTGTAGGCGGATGCCGTTCCAGGCGAGCGCGTCGATGTTCGGTGTCCTTATCTGGGGGCAGCCGTTGTAACTCACGTCGTTCCATCCCTGGTTGAAAAAAAAGAGACTATTATTGCAAGCTGAACACAAGGTCTGTTTCCCTAGTTTAAGAAACACAATCGGCAAAACAGAAATGTAGGAACGGGAACACGCTTGTATCACATGATTGTTCGGCCTATTTGCCTTATCGTCCCAATAACTGCTTAAAGCCGCTTTTTCTTACTTTTTCTTTGTGTGTGTTAGTAATTCGAAGGCAGCAACCAAAAACGCAAGGTTGCGTGCGCCTGTCCTTCGCCGCTCGTTAAATGAATTCAGCGGGAAAATCTTAACTGAAGCATAATTACACGCACCAGTTCGATCCCCCGCTCATTATAACGGTAAACACCTGAGTTGGTGTATAATCTTACGTCAATTTAATTTAGGAAGAATTGGAACGAAAAACTGCGCCACGCCAATACCGCCTATAGAATACAAGGCCTCCGTCTTTCCTCCCCAAACATAGCCTCTATGCGGAGCGCTAGTTCGTCTGCTGCTTTTGCAGTAGTTCTGGTGAATTTAAACGCCAAGCTCTGATTGGCTCTGATCGAACAATAGTGGGTAGACCTCAAAGTAAGCTGCCTTGAGGTCTACCCACTATCCTTCCATCAGAGTCAATCAGAGCTCAGCGTTCTGACGTCACCTGCAAAACTAGCAGACGCAATTGCGCTCCGGAAAGTGGGTCCATCCAGCGCCGCCTAGACTACGTCAGCGCCGCTGCCAGCGCTTCTCGCAGTCTCAAGGGAATTGCACGACGTTATCAAGCGGCGTCGCCAAGACGGACGTGTTTGCCGGTTTGCGGCGACTCTCGTCTATTTTCGGCAAGCTTGCCGCTTCGGGTGGGTCAGGGATTCACGGACGATGACAGACCACGTCGCCAGGCCATGGGCAGTGTCGTCGACGTTTTCGTGCTTTTCGTATCGTCGACGTCGACGCTCAAAGACTTTGAACATCGACTGAACGATGAGACATAAAAGGCTTTCGCCTTAATTAATAGGAATAAGAGGGTTTCTTTTCTACAAATAGGATTTTATGACAGGTTTATTTGTGGTTCAATGCTATCATGACCATTCAAAGATTTGTGAGTGAACCTGTCATTTCTGGCCTGGGTTTTCTCGGAGCTTGAGAAACAAAGGCCATGGCGAGTCTCAGCATCTTATTACTGGCGGTAGGCGATGTGATAAACGGCGCAATTACAACTTGGATTATGAATTAAGCTCGATGGGTAGTTGAGAACAGTTCAGAGACACTCACACTCATAAATTCTTACTTCAGCTGTCTGAGGCAAATTGGATCGTTGATATTCTCCGGCGAAAGCGACATCCTTTGACTGTTCGCAATAGTCTTTGTTGCGCTAAAGGGACACTCGCACGGAGTCCAAGTGGCTGGGACACCTTTTGCAATTCTCTAGAGTTATACATTTTGCCACTTTAGTTTACTGTAGGTTAACATTTCACCTAAAGATTGCCCTTGACACAGGTGCTCTCGTCCACGTCTGCGTGGTGAAAGCGTTTAATTTTTACTTTCATTTGATACGTCGAAACTTTACCGATTTACCGGTAAAAAAATTTAATCGCAATTTAAGCATTCATTGCTTAATCGGTAGGTTAATCGACCGATCGCCTAGCCCTGCTTCTTATCGTTTCGCAGCCAATGAGGTTGCGGCATTAGTCGGAAAGAACCGCGGAGGACGAATCTCGAAGGGTGAATTACAAAGTACGAAGGATGTCAGTGCCTAAAAACCTAGTGACAGCCTCAAGTCATCAATATATTAAGAGAGCTCCTCGCTCTTAAAATAAAAAAAAACGAGCTCGGGCTGTTTCTAGGGCTAAATATGACTACATATTTCAAAACGTTACCGGTTCCTTGCCGTGTTTTTTTAAATGAATAGCGCCGACAGCCGAGTCGTTGAACACTGCTTCACACAGTTACTCTGCCGGCTTTAAATTTATTGGGCTTACGTTTCTCTAAATTCAGCGGACGGTTTTTATGCGACACTGGCACGCCACATGATGCCATGTTGTGACGTCACACTCTGACGTCCCGTGGCATCATGACTCCCCGTGACACTAAATTCCCGCTAAATTTTTTGAAAACAGTCTCCCGCCCAAACTAGCTAAATTTCATGCCAAAACGCCAAATCTTTTACCATGTCATCAGCGAGTATGAACACGATGTGGGGCTGTCGGACGGGTGAACGTCTGGATGCCAGGAGCATAGCAGCCAAGGCAAAGAACAGGAGGATCGCCACTCCCATCGCAGCGATGTTCACCAGGCTGAACCGCTGTGGAATCATGCCGTTTGCGTTGTCCGGACCAGTGGCCTCTGCCAGCGGCTTGTGGGAAGTTCGACGCCTAACCACCGCTTGCGACATCAGAGTACCAGGCTTGTATCTTGTCAACTACCAAGTGGTAAAGTTCCTACGCAGCATTCGTACGGATAGAGTGTCGAGCCCTGCAGTACTAGGTGATCTGTTGTCATGGTCTTAAGCCACGTCAGCGTGCAGCTGTACAATCGCGAGGTTACAGGATGAAACTACAAAACAGAACCAAAAGACAAAAAAAAAACATTTGCTCTTTGAGCACATCCTGTCGGCAGTAGCTTCGGCAAAACTGGGGACTGCTTGCATTGCACGCATACATATACCCCCTCTACAAACTATCTCTACACAAGAGAGGTTGAACAATCTGAGGTATATGCATGAAAGTAGTTGAAATTGTTGAAGCACATCAAGCTGTAGAACAACTGACAATTTAAACAGAGTCTATAACGTAAATATATTGACAGATCACTCTGGTGTCAAAACAAAACCTGGGCGCACTCTGATTAGCATCGCATGCTCTGCACGATAGCAAACGAATTTGGACCAATTTTAGAGAAACAATCTGACATTAAACGCTGAATACGCAATTCGCTACTCACGAAATTGTAATCAAAATGAACACAATGTAGGGAAGCCGTCGGGAGAATGAACGACTGAACGACAGGAGTAAAACAGTGAAGGTAATTGAAAAAAAAAATCGCCAGCCGTCTGCGAAAAATTAAACACATTAACATTGCTCGCGAAATTGGAGTATCAGGCGGGCGTGTTAAGTGGTAACGTTCCTACGCCCCCTTCCTGTGGATAGACTCTCGATTCTAGTAGCACTAATTTCTCTGTATCCTTTTCTACCACGCGCCATTGTGCAGCTTCACGATTCCGAGGTCTCGGGAGGAGCCGAGAAAATACAACCGAATATAACCGAACCGAAAGATATTAGCCATTCTTTTATAAATTAATTTTGTAGCTAGTTTTTTACTTTTACAAATATCGCATTCTATCGCAGTAAACACCGTAAAACTTGGGGTTGTATGGCTTACAGATATGCTTTTCAGAGCGGCCGAAATGCGTCGGAGGTTGGTGAAACTTCTCCTCTAGATTTATTATATTAACTTTATGAAGAAGTAGCCGGAGCAGGTGTGCAATGGCCAGGGTGTCGAACCGAAATTTTTTTCGGTTCGGTTCCGGTTCGGGTTCACGGCTTTCGGTTCGGTTCCGGTTCAGTTCCGGGGAGCAGAAAATAACGGTTCAAGCCGGTTCGAACCGGCTTGAACCGGTTTGAACCGCTAAATAGAGAATATATTTTCCGCGTTGTTCTGGCAATATACACTATTTAGGCCGTGAAACGATTAACTAAATAGTTTCTTCGATCGTCCGTGCAATTTACTCTTGTTTTAGGTGCCAAAAATATGAAATTCAGTTATTTATTTCGACGCAAGAGTAGAAGTAAATCTGCATCAACATACATAACGTCGTGTTCATACCACTCAACGTCCCTTTGTTTACCAGTAGCATATATTTTACCTGTGTCAAAATGTTTAAGTACTGGAGTAAAGAGTTGAGCTTATTGGTACATACCTGTAAATAGATCAGCTTCAAATTTAGAACTATACTGTATTTTCTTGTCCTTTCTTGGTGTTTAAGTAAAATTCTAAAGTTTAAGCTGATCTATTTACACGGTACAAAATGACGCGAAGTGTGGTAGGTCGTCTAAAATACCCGTGATTGGTACAACTTTGTGTCGCAGTATTAAAAGTGAAATCGTGTTCTTGAACTAAGGAATTATTACATCACATAAAATTATGAAATGAGCTCTTCGTGGCCATATACATCATGAAATAAGGTTCACGAAATACACTTCACATTATATATGTATATGATGACGACCCAACTGAGCTAAAAGCAATGACATTTTCGAAATGTAACAAAAGTTTTAGGATAATTCCTTTCAGTCTATTTTTATAGAAACACCGAGCGGTAATCCAAATGCCTGTTGTTCTAAATAAACATTGTTTACACTCAGCACCGCGCGCATGTGACTAATCATGCAGCAATTGTTCACTCTAATATATACGCACCTTTGCACTCAGATCGAATCTGGCCCAAAATAGCGCTTGCCCAAGTGAAATTTTTTTATAGAGAATAAGCTGGCATAGCCTGGTTGTTGAGGTTTGTTCTGGACAAGATGCCGAACAATTTAATTTTCAAATCAGCATCACCCTTACTAATTGATGATTTTAACACGATAGCGTTAAGGAGCTCATGTCGCAGAAAAGCCAATGTTGGTGGCGTGACTGGAAAATCCTGATTGGTCGATAGGTTCATGACGCCAGAGCTACATACCCTCGCGCAAGAATTTCAAACGACCCAAAATGCTTACGTGAAACGTGACATCACGCGTGGAATGAGAGTGATTAGAACATGACATGTAATGCGAGTTAAAGCTTGCCGTATGTCTCAAATGATTTCACTTTCGAAAGTAATTCCTTTGCGTTAAAGAAAAAAATTAAGAATTTTAGACGAGATTCGAAACCACGACCCTTTAGTTGCGAGTCGGACGCTTTTCAATAGGCCAGCCGAGGAACGCTTGCGCGGCAAATGAGAATGCGATGCAAACGAGGCCCGCTGACGCTCTCACGTTTCACTTTTAAAGGCTACTCAATTAGACACTTTCTGGCGGTTTGCGTACGTAATCGTCATAGTTCCGCCGTGCGCCCCTGTTTACTTAGTTTTTGTCCAGCCCACACACATAAAAGTAATGTTCATCACATAAAAGAGGCAATAACAAACTTCTATATGTTTGACAAGTTATATGTGTGAGAAACGCAGAACACATAGTTATTTAAATTAGCTTCAAAATCAGAAATGTATGTAAGGCCGCCCCATATCACTTACAACGTGCCTGTAGAGGATAAAAACGCCGGAAAATATAGGCGGAACACCTTTCAAATAATTTGGGGGTCATTGCTTTAGGGTGGTCGGCCCTCTATTTATATTGTCAAATATTCAGTTAGTAACTAAATATATATTTATAATTATCAATAAATTTTACTTTATAAAGTTCACATCACCGCTTGAGACCGACGCAGAAGGAAGATACTCGAAACTACGCGAGCTGTGGAGTATGCGTAAAATTGTTTTTCTGTTTTCTGATTGGCAGTGTGAAACATCGGGTTGCAGGGCACGCTAAAAAGGACTCTTTGCTCACATGATGAATTGGAAGTCAAATACACGAAATGTTCAAAAAGATGGAGATAATTAGTGTTATTTTCCCCAAAACATCCCGTGCAGAACGCTTTATTGCAAAAAGAAATACGTAAGGATGCACGCAATTGAAATCGTGATTTTACATAAATAGAGCGAAAGGCAGACAAAGATTCTTTAAATCTTAGTATAAATTACATTTCATCAGCTTGCATGAGCTCGAAACTTCGCCAAATACTGCCTCGGGAGGCTAATGTTATATTTGGGGGTCACTGCTTTAGGGTGGTCGGACCTGCACTTGATTGGGCCCTCACTTTACAACACGATGCTAGAATAGTCATGCGCTCTAACATTTCTCTAGGCTGCCATATCTCATCACGAGACTGCTATAAATACTGCACAACATTACAATTAGGACACCCATTGCTAGCGTTGTGAATATCACATTTCACCAGAAAGCTGAACTATTTAGCATGGTATGCACGTGATGTCATCACACTGTAGGCCGGTGGTCATTCTGATTTCTTCTTGCTGAGAAAATCGAATTCAAGGGTGCAAAAGGCACGCTGCAGGAGGTTCAAGCTCAGTGAAAGCCAAGTATTTGAAAGGCACGTATTATTATTCTTAGTGCATCGTTGCGAGGAACGGCGCGAGCGTCTGGCACGACAAAAACGTGCTTTTTGGCAAAAGCGCTTTTGCAAACAAAGTAGTTTCCGGGGTCACGCTCTTTGGTCTGCGCTAAAAATGCAGGGAAGAGGAACCTTTAGAACACCATATGTTTTTAAAACTCCCCCTTCCCCCCCCCCCCCCCAAACACACAGACACACTTCTTTAAACAGCGGTGCTGTTAAGGGCTAGTTTCCCCAGTGTCGTGTCCGTCAGCAAACAAATGATGACACTAAACTCTGGAGAGCTACCGCCATCTATAAACGACGACGGCAACCAGACAACCGGCTTGGCGGTTGTCTCGTTGCCGCCGTTGCGCATAGATGACGGCAACCCCTCCAGCCTTTCCACTCAGGCTTGCCCACTTGCGGCCGGCCATTACTTCATTCCCACCATAGTACAGCCTCGCTGGTATTCCTTCTTCACCAGAGTGGAAAGGCTGAAAGTATTCCAGAGGAATTGCCTCCTCCGTTTGTGTCTGTTGATTCGACAATTTTATTTGACACTTGTTAACCGCAACTCTTCATTGCTTTTATTTTGCACCCTGTGAAGTTTAAAGGGGTCATAAAACGATAAGGGGTTGGAATGATCATGACTTTTCCCGGGGCGTACTGGTCCTCTGGCCCAAGTGTACTCGCACAGGCCACCACTGATTCAGAAGCTTCTTTGTCGCGGTGAAATGGCGAGGATTAAACGAGACTATTTCTTTTAGTCTTGCCTTCCCAAAGATTGATGTCGTAATTGTGGGATCAAAACCACCCGCCTGTCGACAGTCAAGCGCGGCTCGTGGGTTGGACAGGAGAACTGCGTGAGCACCGTACATCGGCTCGTAACAATCAATGCCTCGGTGGACACTTGGGTAGTGGCCCGTGTCACAGTGTCCGTGTGCAACCACTCCGGTGATGAGAAGAGTCAAACTCTAAAAATGCCTGGAGTTCCCCCCCCCCCTCCCCCCCCCCCCCCCCCCCCCGCACGCGTTTTCTTCCTCTCCAACCCCAGCGCGGGGGTATGATTAACGTTGGCGCCATAACATAGGCACCAGGCCACGTGGCCGCTTCTGGCTCCGAGTTGAGGGGACGAACGATGCTCATATGGGCGGCTGCCAT